GGAACATGACATTCAGGGCAAGCAGAAGTTGTACAGATGCAAATTATGCAAACTTATGACTAATAAACAGGTCGATGTACCAACTACCAAGTACCTAATACCACCTCGAAGAAAAGAAATAGTCATGCCTTCAAGTACCGGAGCTTTTAACCAAGGACTGGGGTATTCAAAACTCATTTTTTCCTAGACAAATTATCATAGAGTGAAACTCGCCATGTGTGTTATGCTAAGTAAGGAACTGTTAGTGTTACTATATACCAGCTGTACAGATACAAAAGTGACTAGTTTGCATACAAATATACAAAAATAGCCATTCTTTAGTTAAGTAAATAAAATTTTGTATGCGTCACTGTCAGCTAGGGAACATCATGCATACAATTTGTAAATGTGGAAGTTAAGTTTATATTATAAAGGCACAAACAAAAAAAGCCTGCATGCCCAGTAATAATATTGTTAATAAACTGTTGAAATGGAATTCTGCGAATAGATAGGATATTCAAACATAAAAAGTATTTAGGTAGAGAAGACCTTCAATTATAGATATGCTAGATACTGTCTTATAAGCATAATCAATGAGACAAGAAATTTCATAATTCATTAAGGTATAACTATAAGGTCTCAAAAATGGTTGAACTTGAAGTCATTGTTTGGCCTGTGTTCTGGGTCTGACCATCATAATAAGGAACCTACATACGTTCAATTGTTCAACATTTAAGGATGTATTATATTACCTACTCTGATGTCCCGATTAAACGTACCGGTACGTTTATTTTTTTCGGCCCGAACGTCCACCCGGTACATTCTTATTAGGGACGGTACGTTTATTAATTTTTGGGTAAAAAAATTGTCCATACGTACCGCACCATCAGCAAGTGGCCGGCGGCCGCAAAATTCGGCAACACGTCACAGATAAATATTTGGTCCATGATAGCGGCATTTCCCATGAATATAATGTATATTATTTATTTTTCGCCTGCTGTCCATTTTTAAGTCCCAAAACGTCTGAAAAAGCAAAAAATTTGCCCACAAAACCGAAGGGGAAGGCGAGTAGCTAATCGACGTATTTAGCACACGGCGGCCGCAAGTCCTTGTCAAAATCGGCAACGCGGCAGAAAAATGCCTGGTCCATTTTAGCGATATTTACCATGAAAAAAACGTATGTGGTTTATTTTCCCTCTGGTGTTAGTTTTTAGGTCCCGAAACCCCTAAAAAAGTAGAAATTTGCCCACAAGACGGACGGCCGACGTGGGGAGGGCGCCTAGCGCCTGAGCAGCATGACCCGTAAAAAGTCAAAGGTCATAGGGCACCCATATTGCGCAATCACCGTAAAAGCGCCGATTTAGCTAATTTTAGGGCGTTTAAAATTGATACAATAACATTATCGAATTTTAAAAAAACAATGAGATGGAAACCAATCGAAATTTTATGCTGAATAATATTTTTTTCTCAAAAGTTTTTTCTTCAGAAGTTTTTCTTCTTCAGAATCCAGACTTTGACCAGACTAGACAATGTACCATACCAAATAATTATTATGTTGAAATGGATTTTGTTGTAGATATACTCATTAAACCCCTATATTTGTACTTAATTGGGCTTGATTTTCTATCTCTTAAGTTAGTCAGATTTTCAACTCAAGTTGCAGGAGAAGGCTTAGCAAAGTGCATTTCAGAAGTGTAAAATGCAATAGCTTCTCCTACGGATTTTGTATTTCCCCAAAACAAGTACAATATATATATACTCATTAATTAAAGTGATATATACTCACTAATTAAATGTAACAGTGAAAGATTTGCCCATATATTGGTATTGAAATAAAGAGCACATTTTAGTATCATGGACACACAGTTCACCTGTCAATTTGGTCATTTTCCGGGGGGTACGTTTATTCCGGAGGGTATGTTTATTAGACTTTGACGATTTGTCCGGGGGGTATGTTTATTCCGGGGGGTATGTTTATTAGGGACATGAGAGTACATGTACCCAACACAGGTTCAGGCAGCACTTTGGCAGAACGTACTGCGCTTGCACAAAAAAATTGGAATTTTTCTATGGTTTTCCTTTACTAATTAGTTACTATGTTTGTTGTCATTACAATTACACCTGTTCCTGATGTTCTACTAGTTTCATGGTCATTTCTATGTGTGAACTTACCATTATTGTTAAGCAAATCATTTGTCTTTTGCCCCCCCCCCCAGTCACTACCGTGATGATTATGTTCCATGAATATGTCAATTTTCCTGACACCATGAATTTTTCAAGTGAAATGCAATATCTTTTCCAACACAACATATGAAAACTATAGACAGGATGTCATTTTTTATTACACAAATACTACCTTCAACAAGATGTTCTGCTGAAATGCTATGCACAATATATTAGGCCTAGGAAAAAAATGTTGTGTTTCCTGTTTCAGTCCTGAAAAAATAGGGTCGGTAGGTAGGGATTATCTTTTTTTTTTCTTGCTTTTTTTAGACTTTGGCAATCTCTGGTGATCCAACTTATACAATACAGTCTAACAAAGTGCATTGTAAAACTTAAGTTATATGAGGACACTTCCATTTTCAATGTCAATGCTGCAAATCGATTGTACAATGTTTCATCTTTCAGGTGTAAGAAAAGGTCGATCAGCTCGAAAAATTTATGTCCCTTGCAGGGGTCCACACAAAAAAAGGCTAGGGTCAGCAGTTTTTTCTAGGGTCAGTCGGGAAACAGGAAACAATATTTTTTTCCTAGGCCTTAGGGGTTTGCACAGGTACAGTACGTTCTGCCAATGTGCTGGCTTGTTTTACTATTAAACCTTGAACAAGAACATCAGATGATGCTAACATGGAAAGGCTGGTGTGCACATACATGTACAGTATCAGTTAACATGAAGCCACCACAAACATTTCAACATTTCCAATACATGATGGAACGTACTGGAAATGTGTGTCTGTCATTACAGTGCTGGAAATGTGAAATATGAGAAAAATAATTCATATACTGTAATTCCTGATTTTTTTCACGGTACTGTTATATTCACTGTTTTCACTGTCACTTCTGTACCATGAACTTATCATTACAGTTAAATAATTCCTGGACTTTTTTTCCTGAACCTGTCAGCACCGTGAATATATACTTCTGTGAACATGTCCACTTTTCTCAGACCGTGAACTTTTGCTACCATGAACAATAAGTGAATAAAATATCTGGGAGTATGAGCCATAGCAGTATAGTTGCGTGAATCCGGTGTGGGGGATGGGGGGCAAGGACATGTTTCTCCGGGAAAATTCTAAAATCTCGACCCTCTGAAATGCTATTTCGTGCATTCTTATGTACAAATTTTGCTGGTAGACTAAGCTTAGTTTCATTACAACACGTCCTTCCATATCTTACCATGTCGATCTTTATCTATGAAAGATGACGGATTGGGCAAAATTTTTGTCTGTCATGGCAGGAAAATTCCATCAATGATGGAAAGAAGCATGCTGGCTAGAACACTGGAAAAGGAAGTTCAATATTTCTACAGATGAAATCCAAAAGCAACAGTGATATCAAGAGTCACCACAACATCTATCATCATTGGCAGTCCTGTCTCGAAAGACTATCAAGACCTTACAAACAATGGAATGGAGACCATGTGGAATGTACATGTCTCTACAACCTTCCCAGCTGTTTCAATGCCCAGCTTGGTACATGCCTCTAAAATAGAAACCCTTGACAAGGGACAGCACATGGTCCAGCCTTATCAGGCCTCCTCCTGTACCCACACCTACTTATTTGTCCACCCAGTTCAACGTGCAAATTTGTACAACGTCAAAATTACGTCATCAAAAAAGCTGCCAGCTCACAACCTCTGATATATGGTTTCAAGACCCTGGTTTATAAATAAGTACTCCCACATATGCAAATTGAATATTGCACACTCAAAACAAAATTTGACAAAAAACTTTGAAGCTTTCCTGTACCTCTGAAGTCCAGCTACACATAATTTTGTGGCACAATCAACTGTTGACATGAACTGGTGATGATTTACTACTAAACAGTATTCTATTTGGTTTACAGTATCACGATCAATATAAACCTCCCTTAGACAAGATGTGCCAAGTGGAATTTAACTGAGGAACATGGAAACAAGTTTTCATGTGTTCGTGGTTGAAACGTTCTGTAGTACAGTAGTAACACAATGAATATGCATACTCGTGTCATCGTAATTTTGAGGTGGAGTGGCCAAAACTGCAAAAATAATACCTCCATATAAAATTTCAAAATTTAGGGTAACAACATCCTATATATTGCTCCGTTGCAAGGCAAGAAGACACTATATGTATACAAATTTATAAAAAAAATAACCATAAATTTCTCACTATCTGTAATATATACATAGTAAGCAGAATGTTTGACATCACACAGCTATATATTGCTGCTGAAAAAATGCCATGAAGAAAAAGAAAAAAACTTTCTCAATGTACGACAAGTAGTATGTTCAAAGTCAATTTCTTGAAAGTATGCGAAAAAATCATTGCAAATAAAAATTTAGCAAGAGAAAATGCCACCTCATTCAATCCCACAGAATAGCTGTGGGTTTGTTTACATCCAACTAGCATTAACTCTTTATTGGTACCACCAACAAATACTGTGGTTGTTTTGGCAATGTTGTGGTAAAAGCAGGAAACCTGAAACAATTCCAGAATAACCTAAACGTGCCTGTAATTGCAATAATAGTACGACTTCGTTCTCCAAATTATTTTCTGTTTAGCCGCCACTGCCCTACATAATTTGAACATGTCACCAAGTCACCTTACTAAAGAGGGAGGGAGGGGGGCGCGCCCCCCCATGGTATGCAAAGGTCACTCTTGGTTTCGTTCGGTTTCTTGATATATTTCCACACTCACCTACCTCACATTTCCACGATTTTCCATCCAACACATGGTGCATGAATACAAGAAGATACCAGTCCCTTCCTGCTAGCTTGACGACTAAAAAAGCGGTATTTCTGAGGAAAAAACTGACGACCTTACCGTGTGGAGTTGCGGCTCGCCTGCAGACGGTCCTTCGGACACCCCGTCTGAAGTCATCAGATGAACCCCGCGTATCCACTAACTGTTCCACGGCACCATCACAAACAAATAAACAAAATACAACAGTAAATAAACAAAATACTGACAACAGAAGAGGGATTGAAATTCTCCTAGCAACCGAGGGTGGTGATAAAATTATAACACATCATTCACATGCACGGAGGGATTCAAACATAGCCGCAGCTAAAATGCCGTCAAAATTAAAATTAGAACAGATGTAGATATTCAACAACACGCCTTATGAGTTATAAGCCACCAAGTTGGTCATTGAGTGAGGAATTCTTGGTTGTCTGTGCTTAAATAGGAAATAAAAGGTAGCAAAAAATTGCAGTGACTGCGGTCAGAAACCTCAAGAGGGCGTTGCAAGTAGCACAGTATGGAGAACAGAAAATATTGCCGGTTTCTTCAATATGCCAGGCTTTTTTCACGCTATAAACGACTTGACAGTATCTCCATGCGTACCTACTTGCTATTCTGACAGAAACAGGAATATTATTGGAGACAATATGGTCATATTGAAGGAATTCTGCCTGAATTTTTGTCCCCCGAATGGCGAGCACGTGATGGTGGACATATTGAACATGGCGGACGTGAACATACTCACCAACCTTCGCCAGTTAGAGCCGCTTTTCCTCGCCTCCTTGGTGTTATCCCTCTAGATATGACACGCAGCCTTGATCTGAACACCAACTATTCTGTACAAACTGTTCAACCAGATGTAGACACACAATACACAGGAAAACTGGAGCTCCAATACGCACAGAATTTGTCTGAACCAAAATCCTAATGTTATAAGCGCGGATGGATATTCCTCCCAACCCCGTGATTCAGTTCACCAGGGGCAGCAGAGTCAAAATATTCATTCGCCAGTAAATGAGGTCCATAAGCTCATGTTAATTCAAGCAATTTCACGGTTACCTCTCGTTTCGCAACATTATTTTAGTATAAAAATCTCCCCGTGCTTAGTCTAGCGTTACCAGCACGTTTCTTCAGTCAAGCCACACGAGAACGGTTTTGTTTTTGTTTATATTTACACATGTTGACTAGTAAAGGAGTGGCGTTGCCGCACTGCGGCAGTGTACCTCGTGACTCAAGTGGCGGGAAATTTTTAAAGCCCAGGTTCCGCTCCCCAAACCGGTTCGGTACTACTGCTGTGTCATGTGTTCCGCTGGGGATAGGAGTAATGGTCTGGAATGGGCGTCATTTTTGAGACATTGAAAACAAGAAAGTTATTGAAAAAACTTTGGCGCCGAACGATAATCGGGTCATGCATAATTTTTTTTTAATATTCAGCTTTTAAGTATACCAACCGTTAGATTAACAACCACACCGCTACACTAGGCCACTGGATAATTCTGGTTTCCGTGATTATGTAGAGCTTTAAATAGGGGGCTTGTGTCTATCTCAACATCTTATAACATGAAGTCCGATTGCTGATATATGAACTAAATTTATCCTAATTTAGCCTACCGTACTATAGCTGTGCTTACAATACAAGTAGTACAAGGTATTACTATCACAGGTTTACATAGGAGCCAGCTTACAGGTATGGGAATACGGTAGGTCTAGTATACAATACTAGAAACGTAACATTTGCGAATTGCAAATCGGCATAATGTTTACCTTTGCATAATCTGTTCAGTTAATTCTTACTCAAACATATTCATATATACCGTGACAGAAGTAAATCCCTCCAGTTATGATATAACCAACACTAGTTACCATGGTGATAGACTGTCTGACCCAGTTCATTGACCTTTTGTGTTCAGTGGAGAGCGAAAACAATATGTTTTCCTTCGGTAAACATAACAATGATGTTACCGCTTAGTAGACAATAGGACCTAAGCCAGCGTCCGACCCAAAGGCGATTTCGTTCCGGCAGGTAGCCTGGGTGTCAGGCTGTTGTCAGGACAATAGACAGGCTAGCTCCTCGGCTCCAGGATCTAGCCTGGGGGAGCGGTCGTCTTTTGTGAGGGCCTGCAAGGGGAGGTAGTGATTACGAATTACGCAAAATTTTCGCCGCTGATTACGAATTACGTTAAAGTCTCCGAGCTGATTACGACTTTACGATTTGCGGCAAATGTCCAGCATTACGAATTACGTTGATTTTTGCGGAGGCTGCCTACGAATTACGAAGTCTAAAATGGCCTGATTGCGCCTTACGAAAAAGGGCTTGCATGCCCTCTTTTGTGCATCGGAGGCTAACTCGGGTCCGGTGAGCTAATTTCCTTGAGTTGGAGAACGGTTTCGTACATGTCGGGAAGCGTAATTGGTCGTGTTGTCATCGTTCAGCGTTCTTGAATAATTCTTCGCATGGCGTAGTCGAACGCCAGATCGTTTTACTTCTTGTGTGAGAGGGACTCTGCATGCTTTTCCTGTGAGGCACAGTTAGTACTTGGCTGGGGAACGATCCCGTCGGCATGACGGAGCGCCAGGCGTCATTGCCTGTGACCTACATTTTCTTACCGTGCGTGACTTGACCTCTCCTTTAACCGCAACTTGAAGTCAATATCGACGATAGTCGGAATATATATATTTGTGCATTTATTGAAGTTTAACTCCTCTCGTCAATAGTCATATCTAAACATGCTAATCGAATCGATGTCGTTCCAAGCTCCCCGTGCCGGTGTTCCATCATATTCCTGGGTCGTCGTCGGATTTGTCGGAAGAAAACTTCAAATTAAGTATGCACCCCGACCCCCACTTTAAAAAGTGCGCACTTAATTCGGGAATTTACGGTAGTTACCTTCGCCAAGAAGGTTATGTTTACAGGGGCGTTCGTGTATCATGTATGTGTCTGTGTGTCTCTGTGAACACGATAACTTGAGAAGGTTTAAATGGCTTGTCTTGATGATATTTGGTAGGTGGGTTAGTAGCCTGGTTACCAAACCTATTATAGCTCCCGAGTCATACATCCTCTCCTCTCCGCAAAGAGGAGAGGATGTAGGACTCGGGAGCTATAATAGGTTTGGTAACCAGGCTAGTAGGTGGGTAGGTCTTGATAAGACCTACAAATGATTAAATTTTGGGCCCCCTAGCGGCTTGTTATGGTACTGCAGCTGAACTTCCGGTTTTTATATCTCATGATCTAAACATGCTAGNTGGAGGAGGCTGATTTCTTGAAGATAAAGGATCAGTGCCGCAGTAAGGTAAAAAAAAAAAAACTGAAGACGGCATACAAGTAAGAAGGCCAAGGACAACAATCAGAAGAGCGGGAGGAACGGTTATTCAAACTGCAGTCATGGCCGATTAATTGGATATTCACCGGACAGGATTTTTCAAAACCGGTTATCAAAAGTCTGGTATGAACGCTAAGGGTTTTAGCCGGGTTTTTGAAAAACCGGTTGAAACCGCTAAATGTAAGTCTGGTATGAACAGGGTCTAAGTCTGGTATGAACAGGGTCTTACTCGCGTCAGATCGGTTCGGCGGTTCGTTCGAAAATTCTGGTGACCTTGGGTTGGAGAACAGTTTCATAATAGCGTTGACGGGAAGCGTAATTGGTCGTGTTGTCATCGTTCAGCGTTCTTGAATAATTCTTCGTATGGCGTAGTCGAACGCCAGATTGCCTTACTTCTTGTGTGAGAGGGTCTGCATGCTTTTCCCGTGAGGCACAGTTAGCACCTGGCTGGGGAACGATCCCGTCGGCATGACGGAGCGCCAGGCGTCATTGCTAGTGACCTACATTTTCTTACCGTGCGTGACTTGACCTCTCCTTTAACCGCAACTTGAAGTCAATATCGACGATAGTCGGAATATATATATTTGTGCATTTATTGAAGTTTAACTCCTCTCGTCAATAGTCATATCTAAACATGCTAATCGAATCGATGTCGTTCCAAGCTCCCCGTGCCGGTGTTCCATCATATTCCTGGGTCGTCGTCGGATTTGTCGGAAGAAAACTTCAAATTAAGTATGCACCCCGACCCCACTTTAAAAAGTGCGCACTTAATTCGGGAATTTACGGTAGTTACCTTCGCCAAGAAGGTTATGTTTACAGGGGCGTTCGTGTATCATGTATGTGTCTGTGTGTCTCTGTGAACACGATAACTTGAGAAGGTTTAAATGGATTGTCTTGATGATATTTGGTAGGTGGGTAGCCTGGTTACCAAACCTATTATAGCTCCCGAGTCATACACCCTCTCCTCTCCGCAAAGAGGAGAGGATGTAGGACTCGGGAGCTATAATAGGTTTGGTAACCAGGCTAGTAGGTGGGTAGGTCTTGATAAGACCTACAAATGATTAAATTTTGGGCCCCCTAGCGGCTTGTTATGGTACTGCAGCTGAACTTCCGGTTTTTATATCTCATGATCTAAACATGCTAGGGTGACGAAATTTAGATGTTATGTAGCTCTTGTGATGGGTAAGAAGTGGCGTGAATTTGGGTCCCCTAGCTAGATAGCGGCTTGCTCTGGAACTGCAGGGGCATTTGATTGAAAATATTCAAAAGAAGATAACTCAAGAACCGGTTGACGGATTGTCATGATTTTTGAATGTACATATAGGTAGCCCTGTCTTACGTGATGCTTGACATAATTATTTGACAATTACGCAAATATGGATGTAATTTGCATAATTTATGAGGAAATTCTATAAATCAGCTGCATTCCATGATAGGACTATTGAAGCTTGTGACATTGGTAATTGAGAATGAGAGAAACACAGGCAGAAATAGATTATGTAAATGAAGACTTTACATAACTAATAAGAAAATGTTATAATTCTATAACGGAAACTGCCTGGAACTTCGTACGTGTGGTATATTTGAAACTTAAGTGAAAGTGAACATCATTAAACATTATGTATTTAAATCAGGACCTCATTTGCATAAGCTATGGGGAAATGCTAGAATGGCATTTTTTTGTTAATATAAGAGTGTCCTTTGGTGGAGATAATGATTAACTGATATAGTTCATAAAGATAAGGACGCTATTTGCACAATCAGGGGGAATAATCCATAACTTTTAAAGATTAACATCATTTAGCGATGGTATAAGATCGTGGAACTCTAGTTATTTTGATATAGTGGTAACTTTTAATTTCGTAATTTTCGTTTACTTGTTTTTTTATCCTTAATCCATTGTTCAGCGTTATTGACGCAATTTGTATTGCGAAGTCTGACGATTTAATGTTACAGTGAAACGTCCAGCTGTAAAGGTAAACAAATTACTTCTTACATGACGTTTTAATTAGACACACAGGCAAGCCCAAAACAACACCCTAATCCCTTACACCTGAAGTCTGTCCAAGTTTGAGGTGACATTTCTCATAAACTGCCACGAAATATCATTAAACATTAACATGGCTGAGGAGTGTAAGAAAAAATGGGGTGAAAATTTCTTTTGCTATATAGATGGTACTGTATGTGCAGAACAACAATTGTTGTGCTCCGCAGGACAAGGGTTTTAATCAATCAAAGTCATGCGCATGCTCCTCTCCTGCACGTAAACAGGACATTCTGTCGACGTGGCAGAGAACTTAAAGGCCTGGCACTTAAGCTGGCGTGACGATCTGCAACTGTATTTGTCTTGAATATACCTACATGTATAGGAGAAGGTACGGTTGGATACCTATTTCTTTTTAAGCCTCAAATAGAGATAGGACATTTTAAAATGTGGTCTGAGGCCTCTCTTCCAGCCATTTTGCGATGCCCGGATTGGTCATGACGTTGGTGACGACCTTGGTCAGGTTGGGCTTGTCCTTGAGATGGTCGCCTGGACACACACCACCCGCAGCCTCCAGTACGTAGTAGAACTCAATATCAGGCCAGGTCAGCTGTGGAGTCATAAAACATAACCTAGCCATCATGAAAGGTCATCTGTGTTGGTAGTTACATGTTTTTAAAGTTAAAACTTTCGGTCCAACACAAAAAGTTCTCTGTATAAAGCTTTCGACCTGTCACTCTGGTCTTCCTCAGTAGACTGACCCAGTGAGGCTTGTCACGTGGCTTCTTTGAAGTGTGACGTCAACAAAGGTATCTGGTAGACGATGTCGGCCCCCGTCGCGGTAGAGTGAAGTTGACGTCACACTTAAAAAAACCACGTGACAAGCCTCACTGGGTCAGTCTACTGAGGAAGACCAGAGTGACTGGTCGAAAGCTCTAGGTGAGAGAACTCTTTGTGTTGGACCAATATAGTTTTAACTTTAAACACATAACCAAGCTGTAAGCCTAAACTGTACATGTGTTTTAACTGGGGGAGAGGCCTAGGTTAGCTTCCACCAGACTGCTTTGCGGGCTGAATAAATAGTAGAAATCAGGCAAACTAGACCCTCTATGGCCAGCCAACTCCCCTGACCAGCTACATTCTTTTAGGTTGACTTCGAATTCTAGTATCTATTCAGCCTGCAAAAGAGCCTGGTGGAGACTAGGGAAAGGTTAAGTTTCATGGTACAAGAACATGGACTAAACTTCTTTCAGAATCCAGCAAAGCGGGATATAATCAAGTCCTTAGGCGATGTTTTATACAACTAAGATGCAATTCTCTTAGTCTCCACCAGACTTCTTTTGCGGGGTGAATAAATCGTAGAAATTGGCCTTAAAGGGTATTATTTGGCCAGAGAAGATAGCCGGCAAGAGAAGCTCCATTGCCCCGCAATTATCACATAATTAGTATCTGTTGATGTTCCATCTGCCATAGGTTACATACATTACATGTATGAAAGTACTATAATGTAAATCACTGTAATTATAGCATTATAAAATCTATGCAAATTAAGTCCTCATTTGCATAATTTGCATTGAATTATGTACATCTCTCTCTCAGGTACCTACCTACCAAAAATTATGAAAATACGTTGTTCCTTGGCGGGGAAATGGAGCTTCTCTTGCCGGCTACCTTCTCTGGCCAATTAATACCCTTTTTAGGCCGATTTCTACGATTCACCCCGCAAAAGAAGTCTGGTGGAGACTACATTTCTCTATCATCTATCAACTATTATCAGACCGTCAGACGTACCGAGTCTCCGATGAAGTAGCCACTGGGGTTTGCCAACTTTTCCACATTCTTCAGAAATGTCGGCAGAGTGTTCTCAGCGAATTCCTTCTTCAGTTCTCCCTGTAAAGTAGAATAAAGTAAGAACTTTTTCACCACGTGATATCGGTGATTCGAAAGAAGTACCAGAAAGTCTATACCGCCTCCCGTCCTTGTTAAAATTGATTTTTCTACTTCTACCGTATCTTTGTTCTACTGTCCAGATATTATAATGTGATTTCTATCGTACTGTCACTCACTTGGTGTCATATCATCTAGTATCCCTTCTATTTTTGCATTTTAATTATTTATATAATTTCTACTGTATCATTAAGTTTTCGTTTTATACATATGATTGTTTATTTTATTTGAGCACGATGTCTTAATTTTCGTTTGTCAACATAGCATTTTTCTTATTTTGTATTTCATAACATTTTGATAAGTATTATTGTTTGTCATTGTACCCATAATACATTGTTTCGTCTGAGGATCCGTGGAACTACTTTGCGTTGCCATGAAAGTTCACCTGTGTTGGTAGTAATCATAGTAAAACGTTAAACTTTATTCCAACACACAATTTACAGGGATCAAATTTCAAAAAGAATGGTTTTATTGTCCAAACAGTACCCGTGCAGTCGCAGCCTTTATACGGCTGAAATGATGCAGGGTATCACATAATAATGAATGCAAATCACAACAATTACAACAATCAAATAATACACATGATACACATATTTGTTCCACAATTATTTCTTGTGGAACTGTCCCAAGGGTCTGTGCGGCTGCCATTCGGCGCCACAAGGTGACCTCAATACGACTTTCCCCAACCAAAGTTAGGTACCCATTCACACCTGGGTGGAGTGAGGAAATTCGTGTAAAGTGCCTTTCCCAAGGGCACTACGTCGGGGCGCATGTTCAGACATGTACCGGGTACGACTCGGAATCGAACCCGGGTCTCCCCGCTTCATAGTCAATTGCTCTAACCACTACACCACCCGACGCCACTAGTCAAATTTTCAGCGACTCGCTGAGCCAGTGTCGCCTTCATCAGGCATTAAGGGGGCCATATATATCAGAGCACTTCAGCCTTCACTTAAGGTCTCGGACCGGAGTTTTTTTCACGATTTTGGATCCGGCGGACACCCTCAGACCGAAGGGCTATAACTCCGCCAAAAAAAGTACGCCGGGAAATCTCATTACATCAGTCAACGGAGGTTTCAGGCCGGCTTCCGATACAATTTTGGTTATTGTCCGTCGACTCTATAATTTGGGTAGAAACTGTAGTTAAACGTAAATTTTGGATACGAAAAATGTAGTTTTTT